TGCCTTTGAGGTATGTCCTTGTTCGTGGGCAAGATCTCCTAGATGAATCATGCATTGTGCTCGGCTGCGATGGACATCCATCTGTGTGAATCCTTCCAGTGCCAGCATGTACAGATTTTCAGCAGTTTTTCCATCTTTGCTGATAATAAACACATCTCCCAGACAGAGAAGTGCTTTGTGAAGTGCCAAGTTATCTTTTGTTTTGTAGGCATATCCCAAGTATGTCACTGGCCATCTGAATTGCCACTCTGAACTTGGCCAAACTGTGATATCAGCAAGTCTTTCCAAGCACAATGATTCAACCTCATTGTCTATCCCCCAGGTGGAATGAAGACATTCCCGGAATCTGATCTTTGCCAAGTCAAATTTCTTCTCTCTGAGTTCAATATCAGCCTCAATCATGTTACAATATATAATTTCTCTTGAACCAGCAAACTTGTTGAAAATTTCTTTTGCTTGGTTCAACTTGTGATACACATCCTGCATATCTCCACAAATTGTGTCAATATGTACACTATTGAGAAGTGATATTGCATGGGCATAGGCATCTTGGTCAGGAGAAACAGTTGCAACCATTTGACTGTGGATGCTTCTGGCTTGAGCATATTCTGATTTCTGAAAATGAATCTCCCCCTGCTCAATTGCCAATCCGTGGTCAAGATCCCCACCAGCTAGGCCACAGATACCAAGAATCATTCTGCCCCTGTGTACACTGTCTATAGCCTGGGGGAATTTCCCTAGACGTGTGGAGCATAGAGCTCCAATATACAGTGCATTTGCTTCCTGAAACAGATTTGGGGCTGATTTTGATAGATGCTGTGCCTCGGCTATATGTGCCTGAGCTGTGCAGTGATCTCCGGTGCTATGTTTGACCTGGGCAATGCATAGCAAAACATTACACTGCTCGTTGGTATCTTGACACAACCTTGAAAAGTCCAGTGCCTTATTGTAGAATTGCATAGCTTGACATATATCTGATCTGCGAAATTGAAAATAAATCCCTGCTGCATGATAGAATTTGCCTAAGATGTGATCATATGAGACAGATAGTGGCCTACAGAAGACACTTACACTCAAGAAGAGGGTTGTTGATATGTTCAATCATATTTAGTGCCTGTGTTATGAATTGCTCTCTATCAAGGCTGGGGTAATAGGCAGGTGACTTGAGAACTTCGGTGATGAAATGTAGCTGCAGTTGGTGGTCATCAAGTCCAGGTAAGATAGGTAGAATGCTATCCAGCAACCCTGTATAACCTCGTCCAGTGAGTCTGTGGAATGAGTTCAGGGAGGATATGCTGTGGATGGTAATCCCCAGATCTGGAGTATGGTTGTATAACCCCTGTTGGAGGACTTGATGGAAATTTGCCAGATTCGATGTAATTTGATTGATCACAGGCCCCAGCTGCTCTCCATTATACTTCTGATATAGCTCCAAAAGTGCATAGAACTGCTTGCGGAGACATTGTACAAGAGCTAGAGATGGGGGCAGGAACTTTTGCACATGTTCTCGCATGGGCATCAGTGACCGAAGCCGCCCATTGCTGTCTTGGTATACTAGTGATGTGGCCAGCAATGCAGTCTTGCAACTGAGAATATTGTGGATTGGAAGTTTGTATTGGATCAGTTCACCATCAGAGAGTCCATCAGGGAGGATTGAGAGAAGGCTCAACAATTCCTTGCTCTCTGATGTGATCCTAGGACTGGAGAGAGAAAGACTGATTGACACATCCACATTGGATTTTCGGTCATACCCCAGAGTCAGCAGAGATGTCCTTTCAGTTTGCCATCGAGCCAACACATTGGAAAGCCCCTCATAGTCAGACAAATGAGCAATGAGGTCCACTGCAAGGGGCATATTATCTGTAAATTGGAGAATTTGCTCCATGTCCTCTTTTGTATAGGCATTATCTGTAATATCCATAAAGGTTTGCTGTGCAGCTTCAGCTGACAGAGGTTGCAGTGGCAATAAGAATGGGTGAGTCCAGTGGACTTTGCCGGGCCTCTCAGCTCCTCGCATTGTGATCTGGTAGAAATCAGTGAAGCAAAAATGGAACCAGGGGTACACATACTAAGAGTGCAAGGTGTTTCACCTCTGTAAGGAGTGAAAGGAATTCTTCAATTCCACCTCGGGACTGCATTGGTTCCCACACTGTCTCCAGATTGTCCAAAATCAGAAGACAAGATGGCTTTTGTGACAAGTACTGGACAACAGGTCTTGTAAGATCAGTTCCTGGGTTCAGCCCAACATGTAGTCCAATGAGGGCTGCAAGTTCAATGCTGGTGGTTGCAGCTTCTGCACTGACAAAAAACCTGTGTTGGAATTTTTCCAAGGTCTGTGGATAGTGCAGGATTGCTTTTGCAAGGCTTGTCTTGCCCATTCCACCTCCTCCAAGAATGGCTATTCTGGGTGACTCCTGGTTGAGCATTTTCATGATGGTCTCCACCTCCAATTGACGACCATAGAAGATCTTGGGCTTTGAAGGCAACATTGAAAATGAGGTTGAACTATAAGGGAAAGATTTAGAAACTCAGTTAGTCACACAACCCAACTTGTACCTATTTTTCGATTCATTCCCACTCTGATAAACCTGACTCCCAATTAGTTGGATGTACTGGTTGTGATCTGTTCACCTACTGATGATCCGTTTGAGTTGGTACTGCTATCAGACAGGGTCTGAATCAGCTCAAACAATTCCTTGTGCATGAGCTGGGCTGTTTTCTTCATCACATCAATGTCATTCACCCACAGAGGTCTGATGGTAACCTAAGACCAGTCAATCAATATCTCACCAGAATATATAGATATATTACACACCTCAAAGACTTCCACAGCCTGGTCCAATCCTGCATGACAATCCCTGAACAATTTCTGCACTTCATTATTGCGGAACAGATACTTGATCCTGTTCCCATCCTGTTGTCCTTCAAGGAAAGTATATATCTTGTGCAGAGTCCTGGAGAAGCAGGCCGTTCATTAACTGGTGTCACAAAAATGGCCACCACCTACTCCATGAACTTCCCAATGTTATGCAACATTTCAGGAGACAGGGATTCAACTGTTTCGGCCTTGAGATGGAGGTTGATAATTGCATAAAGGACTGGATGGATGTTCTCCATGAGTTGAGCACATTCATCCTTGTTCCGTTTCACATTCTGCGCCATCCTGTAAGTGCCTCAATTGTTAATGTTCAAGTGCTCTTACCTGAACCATGTCAATCAAGGATTCAATGGTGTTTACAATGGTCAGAATAAATGGTGGGCCAAATGCATCATTCAGCTCCTTGAGAAGTGTTAGGGCAGGGGTCAAGCAGCCCTTAATATTGTTCAGGCGAACTTCTGTGACAGTGGACTGGCGGGGCATTTTGAGATGGGGATCAAACACGGGGCTTGCATGTTATATGTGCCCTCTCGAGGCTGCATCCTGCATGGGAAGTCCATTACCCATCCGACTCAACTGCAAGATTTGTCTGTTCATCAGCACACCCATCTCCAATCCATCCACTTCTGATTGTGATTGTTGTGTCTTCTGATAGACAGGAATCACACCAGGCACGAAGCCGATGGCATGTCAAAATGACATGCCTCAACGACATGTCACCTGGAGGTGATCCAGCATGTCTGATAGGTACCGGGACCTTATCTGTGATGATGTAACATCAGGCCAGTGTCTTTGTCTTTGTTCCATTTCTCCAGCTCTTTGAAAGCAACCCCCCCTGCACCCCAAAAGGATCTCAGCACAGCCACACTCCAAGACCTGCGCACTGGATGTAAACAATGAATGCTTGTAATTTTTTCCTTCTAATACAGTGAAAGAATGGCAAGGACATTGGGTAATTATTAAGTACAGCCCACCACTGGCATTTTTGCAGGCAGTGACCAGATGTCTAGTGTCCTATGATTATTTCTGGTACAACATGTCGGCAATTTATTTTTTGACCATTCTGTGGCACTCTCGTCGATGTTCAGCTATGTTACAGAGGAATCCAACGTAGTTTCTGTTCAAATTCGCAAGCATCATCCAGATGTTGGCCTGATACCTGATTTGTGTCTTGGGATGCGCAGCTTCAAACCTTGAAAAGGTCGCGCATGAAGGGAGTGAGCAGGTGCATAATCAAGACCTAAAGTGGAATGGTCCACATCTGCTGCGAATCTGCAATGAGCTGAGGTTTCATGCAGGAAACCCCCGTTCGATTCGGGGTCGGGTTACTACGGGAATAGGGGATGTACTTTTTGACCATTCTGTGGGACGAACTCTCATGTTTTATGTACAGTTTCCTGTTCAAGTCTTGGCATACCCCAGCCACTCTGTCTTGTCAATGGTGAGTTACGACTTTGGAAATAAATGTTCAAGTGGATGAAGGGAGGAAAGGACGGTGTAGAACCAAGACCCGAAGGTGGAGTGGTCCACGTCTGCTGCGAATACGAGATTTGGGGAAGTAATTTCATGCAAAAGCACCCCGTTCAATTAGGGGCCAGGTCGTGACGTCGACCGACTCGTTTTTTTCTCTCTCCAAAGCTATATTTTGACAATTCTTTGAGATGAATTCTCACAGTTTATGTACGGTTTCAAGTTCGTGTTCGACCGCTCACAAGCCCCAGCCGCCCGGGATCCAGCCTTGGGCTCATTTGTGCGAGACATCGACAGACACAACTTCGACTTAGCTGGGAAAGTCGTGCATGAAAGGAGTGGGAGTAAGTGGAGAATCAAGACCTGAAGTGGAGCGGTCCACATCTGCTGCGAATCTGTCCGATGTCGGGGTCATTTCACGCAGAAAACCCCCGTTCGATTCGGGGTCAGGTCATCCAGTGAAAGCGAGACTCCTTTTTACCACTCTTTGGGATTCTCGTCGGTGTTCAATGTTCAATATATTAATGTTTATGTGCATGCGGTTTCAACTTGAAGCGGAATCCTGATCAAGTGTTGGGTTTCGGAACTTCAACTTCGAGAAGGGCTAGTCTTGAAGGCTTGAAGGTAAGGGAGTGAGCAAGGGTATATTCAAGACCTGGAGGTGGAGTGGTCCACATCCGCGCTTGATGCTAAATGATGAGTCAGTGTCTCTATGCGGAACATGCCCCGTTCGATTCGGGGCCAGGTCGTGGAAGTTGATGATTGTTAGTTTGTTTTTCGTAGTCGTCTGAACTAGCTGGGTTTTTGATAAGATTCATGAAACGGGTGCGAGGTCTTCTTCATGCCCACCAGCGGGGAAAAAAAGATGTAGAAGGGTCCAAATCGGTGGAGCGTTCTCATTTGGGTGGCATCAGAAATGCCAATAAGGAGCAGGAGATGAAGATATGTGGATATGAGCGAATATGGGTACTAAAGACTTGGGGGTGGAGCCTTCATGTGGCCGCGATAATCATGAATTATGCGGATGACCCCCGTTCGATTCGGGGCATAGTTATGTCGGCGTCGAAACACTTTTTCTTCCACTGGTCAAGTATCTGATGCCTTGTCTGATGGCATTTTCACATCGAAGTAAATTAATATTAGGATGATTGAGATTTGAGTGGTGAATACTTTAGACTACGAGGCGGACGTCAAGAAATCCTGATTTGAACACAAGGAAGCTTCGCAGTAGGAACAGGACCGGGAAACTCCACACCGAAATATTATGGATCGAGCCGAGACCGAAGGAACGCGTCGCATTTGCCTCTACGCGCCTCTTGGGCATCATGTGACCGCGACAAGACAATACCGCTTCCCGTGTTTCCTCCTCTCATTGCGCTCTTATTTCTTTTCCTTTGGCCTAAGGATGAACCTATGGTTAGGCTCTAGTACTGACATTATTTTTCCACCAAAAAAGAACGACATTTGTCGTACACAAGTTATTGAGCGCTCATCTGCCACCAATTAATCTGCCGCGATCCCGAAGCAAGCTCGAAGGTGCTTCAGTCGAATTTAGTGACTGACAACTGTCCATTCATCTGTCTACTCAAAACCTTCTCGTCCAGACAACCTCCGTCCCTGCTGCGAGATGATTATCAGTCTCGGTCACCACGGCCATTTCTCACCTCCAATCTGCCCGCAGATCTAACGGGCTCGTTTGAAACAAAAGTATCCGTAGCGCCCACAGGGACAGCGGCGTTCCAAGTTTGGGTCCTGGAGACTGGAGACTGGCGGTGTTATGATTTGAGACATCCCCTGTCACTCAACTCTGCTCTTGCCCTCACCCCATCGATAACAAATTCAGGGCCTCAGTGCCACAGCTAGCTTGACTCGACGATTGGATATCGGGCGTGTTTCTTACCAGCAACCAACTGAGATGCCGTCTACGAGCGTAGGTGGTGCAAATGCAGGGAGAGTTTTGCGGAGGTGCGTAGCCGTGGCGGGATACGGGCGCTAAAGTGACTCGACGGACACAGGGCGAATCCAGGGACGATACAGGACAAGTTTATGGTCGGATACCAGGGCTGGTTCACCTGCGCCGGCGACGGGCCGCCCATCGGCGAAGGTGCGTAGCACGCGGGTAAGATCTCTATCGCGCCAATAACGCCGCGCAGGGCACCACGGCTGGCTGCACTGGATCGACCAGCCGCTCACTGCGCCCGCCAACGGCCGCCCCAACACCGACCTCTGGCCTGACACCTCCGCGTACGATCCGTCCGAACTGTACCCTGTCCCGGGGCTCGCGCACAAGGACGGGGCGCCCGCGCGCGTGTTCAGCTCGCGGGACGCGCGCACGGTGAATCGGCACTTTCGGTGGATGGCGGAGCACGGCGTGGACGGCGCGTTCCTGCAGCGGTTCGTGGGGCAGGTGGATCCGGAGGAGGCGGGGAATCGGGACGAGAGATATGGGGGGACGAGGCGGTTGCGGGACGAGGTCGGGAGGAGGGTAAAGGAGGCGGCGGAAAAGGAGGGGAGGGTGTGGGCTATTATGTGCGCTTCTCTCATCTCTTTTGAGTCAATGCTAACTCGGCGCACAGGTACGACGCCTCCGGCGTCCCCCCCTCGCAGATCCTGCGCATCCTCACACAGGACTTCACACATCTGCTTTACGACGAGCATATCCTCTCCTCCCCCGCGTACCTCCGCGAGCGCGGCCGCCCCGTCGTCGCCCTCTGGGGCTTCGGCCTCTCCGACTCGCGGGTCGACGCCGCCCTCGCGCGCGCGTGCTTCGACGCGCTGCGCGCCATCGCGCGCCAATACGCCTCAAATACTGGCGGGTACGGACAAAACGACGGCGAGATCTACATCTTCGCCGGTACGCCCTCGCACTGGCGCACGCCCGGCGCGGGCGACGCGCACGTGGACCCCGCCTGGTCCGCGCTGTGGCTGGGCCAGGACGGGGCGGTGGACGCGGTGAGCCCGTGGAGCGTGGGGCGGTTCAGCGATAAGGAGGAGGTGGAGAGGTGGGCGGTGGATAGGTGGGGTGGGGATGCGGATCTGGTGGCGGCGCATAATGAGGAAGGGAGGGGGAGGAGGGTGGATTATGTGCCGGTGGTGTTGCCGGGGGGGTCGGTGCGTTTGTTTCCTTTCGCCTCCTCGATGTACTCTACACCTTCACCGCAACTCATCCGTTTCACACTTTCTTTCGCGATTATATATTCATGCTGCTTGACCCCCGGCGCTGACACGCACACAGGGCTTCAACCTCTCCGAGGGCAAGTGGGCGTTCAACGGCATCAAGCGCAACGGGGGCAAGTTCCTCTGGGCGCAGGTGTTCCATGCGAAAAGGCTCAAAGGCGTACGGACGATGTATGGCGCGATGTGGGATGAGTACGCCGTGTTTCTTTGCTTTACATTCTCCTCTTTGCTTTTATCGTTTCCTCGCCTGCGATCATGCCCTCATTCATTTTCCTCGCTTTCTTTCCGTCTCTTTTAATCCTCATTCCCTCTGCTTTCTCTCTGTCCTTATTCCTGCCTTCCTACATATCCTATCCTACCCCTCTCATTCCTCCGTTTGTCCTGGCTGTATTCTCCATACTTGTTTCTCCCTCTTACTTTATCCTCCCCGCACTCGCCGTCTCTTTCCTCTCCCATCCCCCCTCCACCTTCAATCCTCCCATCCGTTCTTTCCTTTCCTTCCCTTTATTCTATCGCGATTCTCCAGCAAAGCACTGACGCGCCTTTCCAGATACGACGAAGGCACGGCGTTCCTCCCCGTTGTGGAGAAGAAGCGGCTCCTGCCCGAGAGCGACAAGTGGCCATTCCTCGCGCTCGACGAGGAGGGGTACGATTTGCCAGCAGATTGGTAAGTGCTGTTTCGAAGTTTTCGAGATTCAAGTGCAGTGGAGTCGGTTTCTTGCACTTGGCAAAGAGAATTGGACGGCGAGCGAGGGTGGAGGGATAGATAGAGAATTCGGGACGTCTCCTCCCTCTGTCACAGACGGGATGGGACAAAAGAGAGGCCGTCACACCCCGCATTAGATTCGACGCACGGCTTGAATTCTGTCGCGCCGTCTTATCCCTCTCCCAGAATCATTGTCTTTATTATTTCTCTACCTATTTCTCGGTTCCTCTTTCGCTCCTATTCGACTACTAACCCACATACTTACAGGTACATGCGCATCGCAGGCTTCGCCGCCGAGGGCCTCCGCAGCGAACGCCGCATCCACGACTCCTTCCCGAGCAAGGAGCTGCAGGACTACTGGTCCACGCGGCCGCATTACGAGGACGAGGTGTCCGCCTCCTCTTCATCCTCGTCTTCTGGAGCCGGCGCTTCGTCGTCATCCGGAGCCGGAGCTGCGCTGGGCCGCGGCGCGTCTGCTTCTGCCTCGTATTCCACACCCACGCCCGCCGCCGCCGTAGTACCTGAGAAAAAAGAAGAGGAGCTGACGGAGGCGGCGCGCGAGGCGAAGGCGCAGTTTGATATCTGGGCAGAGGAGCAGCGGCGCAAAGAGGCGGAGGGAGAGGATATGCCGCCGCCGGCATATTCGTTGGAGGACGAGGGGCCGGCGGTGGTGGAGGCGGCGCCGGTGCAGCAGCAGCCCGCGCAGCAACAGGCGGCGCCGGTACAGCAACCAGCGCAACAGCAGCAACAGCAAGCGCCGTTTCAGCAGCCTTCACAACAGCAGCAGCCTGCACACCAGCAGTCACCCTATAACAACGCCGCAGATGCCGCTGTCGGTGCGCTCGCAGGCGACTTTGCAGCGCGCGCGCGCATCGGTGCAAGCCCGCCGCCTCTGCACCCCTCGCATCCCGGGCGGCAGCAATCCGGGGGCGTGGGGCAACAGCAGGGATACGGTAGGGGCGGGGGCGGCGCCAATGTCGGTGCAGAACGGCCGCCGCTGCATCCTATGCAGCGCGTGGGGTCGGGCTCGGGCTCGCAGGGGTCGATACATAGTGTCGGTGGTGCGGGCGGAGGTGGGGAAGGAGCGTATGGTCCGGGGCGCATTGCGAGCCCAGAGCAGGGGCAGGGACAAGGGCAGTGGGGCGCGCGGCCGTATCAGCCGCAGCAGGCACAGCATACAGGCGGGTCTGGCTCGTCGGGGAGCGGGAGCGCGCCGTATCCAGGCGCTTATCAGCCGCAACACCAGAATTCGGGTGGGCCGGGGACGTATCCTGCGCAAGGACAGGCTCAGCAGACGCAGGGGTACCAGCAGCAGAACATGGCGGGAGCAGGAGCGGGGCAAGGATACCAGCAGGCCCAGCACACGGGCGGGTCGGCGGGGTCGGGGTCGGGCGGAGTTCCACCGCAAGCTCTGCGACCTGCTTCCACGTATCCGGGGCAAGGGCAAGCTGCGTCGGCGGGATATGCTCCTCCTGCTGGTGCACCGCAGGGACAGGCAGGATATGCGCCGCCTGCAGGTTCGTCTCAGGGACAATCGGGACACGCCCCGCCTGCTGGTCCGCCGCAGCAGGCGGGCTACGCGCCCCCTGCTGGTCCACCGCAGGGATATGCGCCTCACGCTCCGCACCAGCAATCCCCGCAGCACACGGGCGGGTCGAGTTCGTCTGCATCTTATCCCGCGCAGCAGCAACCGTACCAGCAACAGCCGCAGCATACGGGCGGCTCTGGCTCATCTGCGTCGTCGTATGGTCCTTCGCAAGCCCCGCGGCCATCGTCGTACCCCGACCAAGCGTATTCGCCTCCCGCGCAGGGACAGGCGCCTTATGGAGGTGCTTCTGGACCTGGACCTGGGCTGGGACGCGGTAC